CATCCAGTATGATCCGCCATTGTGTTCAAAGTGAAAAGAACACACACACACACACGTTAAGTAAAATCATAGTTGAGATTAATGCTTTGACGCAAGTTATGTGCGGTCTGCAGGGAGAGAATCTTGAGAAGACACTGGAAGTTAGCGCGTAGCTCGTTAGATAATGTGCGAAGAAAACGAGATGAATCTTTCAGGTGATTGGAAGTGCACGCCAGTGGAGTACCAAGAGGGTCCCCCCCCCCTCGAGAATGGGAAGCGAAATTTTGAAGGTTACTTACATGAGTTATAAAAATTGCAAGGGAATGTCCATGATTGTAAGTAGTTGAAATGACTTTCAAATTTTCTCTAGATATCGGCATTGTGAGCCCTCGAAATCAGGAAGTATGCCAAAGAATTTCAAAGTGATTGGCCAATGCCACGCACCTTCATCAAAAAATTTTTTTGTCCCGCCCCCTCCCTCGAACGGACCCGGGTAAGCTATTGGTGCACGTGTATAGTGTTCTGAGTAAGCTGCATGAAGCAGCCAAAAAGATTCTATAGCTCATTTTGTACAGATTCTAACGTCTCAGCTGTAAACTTACGAATTTTGAGATGGCAGACATTGACGCAGAAAGCAAAGCAACGAAAATGGGAACATAGAGTCCGGCTTTCCTCCCAACTTTATCAGCTACCAAACGGATGGAAAACGATCCAGCCAAAGCTCCCAGAAATATAATAGCGACAACGAAACTCCAGACATTCTGTAATTGTGAAAATGATAAATTTTTTAGAGCGAATCTCGTATTCTTACGTCTAATGCTGTAGCGGAATTGTCAGTCAGCGTTTTCCCAAGCGTGGTATTTAGAAACTGAATAAACGCAGCCTGCGACGGATTTGTGATAACTAGTTGGTACCCGAAGTGGAATGAGCCGCTAAGAGAGACGGCTAGCGCCACCATAACCATTCGCAGGCTTGGTTTTCGCTTCATACCCTGAAAGTGATGCAGTAATTCAAGAAAACAATTGCTACATTGCGTAGGAGTATGTGTTATGGTTCTCACTCGAATCAAGTGACGAGATGTTTTGACTCTTATCTGGTTTTACATGATGCTGGAGGGTTGCTCTACAGCCATTGCCGCGCAACGTTGCCATGTTAGCACAGCAAGGGAGCTACGCTAACCCGTGGACTTTCGTCTAACGTGGAGGCCCCGCGACATTTGCAACAAATGCGCATCCCTGACA